TGCATACTATTTTATTACCCCAACCTACTGATGAGGAAAACCAAGCTTCCACGACATTAAGCAATTCTACAAGGTCACGTAGGGGTGCATAAATTCCAACACGCTGCAGTTGTTATAAAGGTTATATGTGACACATGAGTACACCAGGAGATGTGTGTAAAGGGTTTCATTGCTGCACTGTATGAAACAGCAAAGAATCAAAACTACCCATGTGTCCATCAATAAGAGACTAGAAAAATAAACTTCTATATTCACACAGTAAAATAACATATAGCAACTAAAATGAATGAACTAGACCTACATGTGTCAGCATAGACTCAAAAAATAAAAACCCATAATAACGGAGTGGAAGTCAAGTTGTAGAAGGAAGGGTACAGTGAGATACCAACACTCTGAAAGTTAAAAAACGCAAAACAATGCCAAATGCTCAGGAAGGGGGTAACCAACTTTAAGGATGCTGGTGACCTCTGGGGATAGCGTGGGGTGAGGGCTTTTCTTTTGATGTCTGCATCACTTCAATATAAAACCATTTGAACTGAGTATGGCAAAATATGAACATCCGGTGAATCTGGGTGATGGGGTCACTGATGTCTGCTTTTTCTGTGTTTGAAATGGTTCCATAATTAAAGCTTTAAAAAGGAAGACTAAATATGCCTGGTCAGTGTGCTTCAGAAACTAGAGGCTTAAAGACATTCATTCCCACCCCCCTCAGGATTGGCTGTGCCCTTTTATGCCTCCAGGCCTGTCTTTCATTTGAAACTGTTACGAGCACCTGCTGTGTGCCCTGGTCCGGGGCCACCCCTTAGATAGGAAGAGCAGCATTGGCAGTCCTTGCTGTCGTCCTGCTTCTCCTTCCTTTTTTCCTTCCTCTTTCTTGTTTTTGGTTTTTGGGTTTTGTTTTGTTTTCCTTTTTAAATGAGGCAGATCTTGTCTCAACATAACTTGGCAGAGCAAATAACTTGGCCTCTCGGGGCCTCAGTTTACTCATCTACAACATGGGGGGCAGTTGTGCTGTTTCCAGGGTTGTGTAAAGATGAAGGAAGCGTGGGTGGTGCCCCAGCACAGCACCGAGCACAGAGCCGTGCGAGAACCCGGTCCCTTCCTTCTTTCCCGTGTCTCCCTGGTGGCCCCGGCCGTGCCTGCCTCATGGCTGGCCTCTGAGAACAGCACTCGTTCTGAAACTTTCGCTATCAGGAACTCCCCTTTTTATTATTTTCCCCATGCTTTGGAAGATTTTGATCCCAAATTGCATGTATTAAGTCATTATTAATTTATCTCCCATTTTTTATTAATCAAAGACATAGATAGCTGCCCCTCAGAGCTTCTGATCTGTACAGCCAGCTGGGAGCTGCACGTGGCTGATATAACTCCAGCCAGAGGCACAGGAACGCAACAGCATGTGTGGTCTGGGTGGCCTGAGGAGGGGTAGTGTAGACCCATCCTATTCATTTTCTTGTTTTCATGGACGGTGGGTTGTGGGGACTGCTGCCTCGCCTGGGTGGGTACTGTTTGCACAGGTCACTGACTGGTGAGCCAAGGGCAGAGTTTTCCATGCCAGGATCCAGCACAGGGCCCCACACGGGTTCGGGACCCCTCATGCCGCACTGTAAACAGATGGCGTAGGCCAGTGCCACACAGAAGAGCGTGGGATTCACATAGTGTTACGTGGCAAAGCTGTCTCCATGTGGATCCCACAGGCTCCGGCTGGAGACCACTATGTCATCCTGCCCCTTGCTCCGGATGCTTGACGGAGCATGCTAGCTTGTGGCGGGGCGGGGCGACAGCCTTAACCAGGTCCTGGGTCTCAGCACTCAGCTCGGCGGCCAGCCGGGCACACGGGGCTGGGCGGTAGGCCATCCCAGCCAGCTGCTGGGGCAAGTGAGCCTGCATCAGGAACTCTACCCGGACGCGGGGAAACTTCGCCCCTGGCCTGGCCGACCACAGAGGCACCTGGGAGGAAGAGGGGAGTGAGGTGTTGGGTGCTTGCAACAAGAACATGGAATTTGGGCTTGAAGCCGATTATGTTAAACATAGAACCCCACGTTGGAGCATATACTTTGGAACAGTGGAATGAAAACTAGAATGTAGAATCAGGAACACAGAAAATAACTTTATAACTGGAAGGTGCAGATTCACCAGGCTTCTAAGTGGCTCAGCCTACAGGGAATGCTCCAGGGCCCTTGACCCCTACCCTCCTCCCTGTCCTTGCGCCCCCAGGCCACTGGTCCACACCTGCTCCTGGATGATGCTGATGGGCCAGAGGTGGTTGGGCTGGAGCCACGACCGTGTTCTCGAAGACGTCTGATTCTGTAAAAGTGAAAATGAGCGTGGAGGCAAACAGCATTTGCTGAACATCTACTGGATGCCAGGTTTTAGTCATCTGTTCCAGGCTGGCCGTGCCCCAGAGCAGGCTCTGAGCAAGGATTTGAGTGCAAGTTTACTGTGGAGGTGATTCGAGGGAGTGGGGGAGGAAAGCCAGTAAAGAGTGTGTTGATGGGCAGGTGACCCTGGGGGGCAGCTGGAGCTCGTCCGCTAGGGTCCACCCATAAGACTGTAGAGTGCACCTCAGAACTGTCACAGCAGGGTGACACCTGTTGTCCAACAGGAAAGGGAGGGGTGAGGCTTGCTCCGCCTCCCAGGGCTGGGCTCAGTGTCTGGCAGCCTGAGGAGCCTTCAGGCAGAGAGACACAGGAGCCCGGTGCTTGTAGGGACTTTCTGCAGGTTCCTCCAGCCGGGAGGGTGGTACAGGTGGCACATGAACAGTGTCCCCGAAGGCATCTCACTTAATTCTCACAGTCGTTAGAGAGAAGTAGCTTCCCTGTTTTGTAGGCAAAGAACCAGACAGATGCTCAAGAGGTAAAGCACCTGGTGGAGAGTGTGGTGTTCTCGCATGAGGGCAGGAGCCCATAGCTTGCCTGCTCCCTCCCCAACCACCCCGTCTAGCACTATGTGCAGTGAATGTTGATGCGGCATCTGTCGAATGCATAAATGAGCTGGTGGGAGTCGCATGACCGCGGGTTGGGGTTGAGGCTGTGTAAGAAAAGTGCTCGGCGCTGTGCCTGGCCCACCCTGGGGTCTCAGTGAGCAGTGATTCTCCTTCTCTGCCCCCTGTAAGGGCAGCAGGGCTCTCTGCCAAGAAGTGAACCTCCATGCCCAGCTCAATGACCACCTTCAGAAAACTGCCCCCGAACCTGCAGATAGAGAGCCCCAGGGAGTCTCCAGCACGTCTCTACTGGCCCCATCCAATGAGCCCTGAAGCCTATCCAGGTTTCCCCCAGGTTAACTCAACAAAGGAGAGCAATAGCTTGCCTGACTCCCTGTTACTCCAGGGCAGAGTGCCCTCTCTCAGTCTCTCTATCTCCCTGCACTCACTCTCTCTCCCGTATTTTCATCCTCTCCTTGAAGGACTGCCTGCAACTTGCACGGCTTCCTTTCTCACCTGCCTTCACTCCTCAACCCGCTGCCATCTGGTGCCCACCCCACATGTGTCCCTGGTGTCCAGAGATCATTTTCCAGCGGCATGTGATGCTGTTGTCAGTTCCCTCCTTTCTGAGCATGTTTCCGCAATGGCATAATAATTCCCACCTCACCAGATTATTCTGGGGACTAAATAAATCCTCCTCCGTGCATGTATTCAGCAAACATTTCTGAACACCTGCTGGTATGCAGGCTTTCTGCTGCGTTCATGAAGACCCTGACTTTGAAGGGCTCTGCAATCTCCCAGGGTCACAGAAGCGATTATGATAAATGTGAAAAAGCCTGGCACTCTGCCTGTACACGGTGGGCACTTGTGAAGGTGGGCTCTGTCTTATCTTTCTGCCTTCCCTGGGCCTCAGTTTCTACAGCCAGAAAATAGGTTGGAAGAGGGGGTTGGACTTGCTCTCCGAAGTCTCCTTCCCCCACAGAAGGCCCAAGGCCCTGGCCCACCCTCCTCAGGCTGCCCCACCCCTCCTCCACTCTGCCTCTTCCCTCTCACCTTGAGCTCCTGGGTAAGGCTCTGAGCAGTGATGAGGCCCCCTGGAGGCTGTGTGTGGCAACTTCTGCATTTGGAATTTCTGAAGCTTTGGCTGGCCTCCCTTCTTGATGGGGGACCTAATGAGGGAGTGCTGCTTCCCGAACCAGGATGGCCAGTGTGGCCTGAGGGGAAAGCCAGGTGGGCAGGTTGGAGACAGGAGGGACCAGGGCTCTCAATGAAAAAGGATAGAGGGGTCCTGGCCCCCATCTGTACCACTCCAGGCATCTACAGTCCTGTGCCCCAAGTCTGCACCCCAGCTCAGACCTTGTCTTGCCTCCATGTGGGTAGAATTGCTGTCATGGTAAGAACATGAGCTTTTGAGCTGGTCATACTTAGGTTCAAGTCCCAACTCTGCCACTGATCATTTGTGTGATCTTGGGCAAATCACTTCATTTCTCTGAACTTCACTTTGCTCATCTATAAAGTAGGGGTACTTTTATTCCATCTCTTAACAGGTATTTATTGAGCACTTACTCTGTGCCATGACAAAATACAGTTCTCTGCCCTCCCTGTGATCAGGTGCTGGGCGCAGACAGACAAGAAGCAGCCAGGAGTCTCAACCAGGGTGGTCCTGCCTCCCAGGGGGTGTTTGGACACCTTGGGGGTTACTAACACCTCCTCACAGAGCTGTGAGGGCTAAGTGGGATCAAGTGCCCAAAATATTGAGCATTGGCCTGGCACACAGTAGGTGCTCAATAAATGCTTGTTGAATAGACAAACTAATAAAAGCAGTCCTGCCTGAGCTCTGATTGCCAAACTATAAAATGGAGCTCGGCAATCTTTGCCTTGCAAAGTTGCTGTAAAGATTTTTAAATGTGTTTAAATTAATGAGTTTACAGTAATAAATAGAATGTGCTATGTGCCAGGTACTCTTCTTCTAAACCCTTTGCAAATATTAACTCCTTCTTCTCATTTCACAGATAAGGAAGCTGAGGCACAGAAGGGGAAGTTAAGGAACCTGCCCAAGGTGGCATAGCTTGGTTGTGGCTGGATATGCTTGTGCCTGGCAAACAGTGAGTTCAACAGTTGCTTTCCAGTGGGGCAGGAAGGTTTTAGGCTTGGTATCCGGTGCAAGGCAGGAGGCTCTGGAAGGCTCCCATGTGCCCGAGCTCTGGGCAAGGAGGGGCAGCTGAGGGAGCTGGTAAGAGGTGGACTGTGGTGTGAGAGTGAGAAGGGGAAAGGACAGGAGGGCCCAGAGGAGTAAGAGGAGGCAGTCAGACACTCCGGACACCTCTCTGGAGGCTGTAATCCTGGGACAGCCATTCCAGCAGCCTCTCCTGAGGCAGGGAAGCTCACCAGGGCAGTTTCCCCTTATGTAAGTAACCATGAACTTCCTGGACCGTGCCTTGGTGTGTTAAAGGTCCTGCCCACCAAAGCAGCAGGACTAATTGGCTATCAAAGGGAGGTGACAGGAGAAGCTGAGCCAGTAGGAGCTCCCTTCCAGAGCCTCCCCGACCCCTCTGCTCCAGGCCCTGCCTCTTCAAGGACCCCCAGTGGTCAGACTTCCCTGGAACCTACCCAGTACTCAGCACCAGCCCTGCAGCTCTGCAGTCCTGGGCTAGAATCCCAGTCCTGCCATTTACGGAAGACAGTGATCCTGGGTATTTATTGTGCCCCGGCCTGTGCACTGGGCGATGGTGGGGCCTCCTCGGAGGGGACGTGTGGATTACAGGGGGCGACCTACACAAAGGGCTTAGCACAACGCCCAGCTCACTATAGTGGTTACTCCAGTTGTTGCTGTAGCCCCCTCCAGACACCAACCGTGCACAGCTCTTCATGGTTCGCAAAGCCCTTTTGCTCTCAGATCTTGCATTTGGTCCTCACGGCAGCCCAGGGAGCCCAGATAGAGAGCTGCATTAGTAACCCCCTTCACACATGAGGAAACTGAGGCTCCGGGGCAAGTGAGTGACTTGCCCGAAGTTACACAGCCTGTCAGATGGGGAACACGGGTCCAAACCCAGGAAGATTTGAACCCAGACCCGACACCCTTTCCACTAAACTGTGGGCTACTGGCAGTGCCCTCACATAGCTGATGGTGAGCAGGTCCCATGAGGGGCCCATTCTCTGCTGGCCCCTGGTTCTCGCTCGGCCCCAGGACCAAGTGCACCCACCCTGGCTGTGCTATAGGGGCGGTAGCCCCTCCTTGCATGGTTGGAAGGTTCGGTGAGATCCGATGTGGAAGGACCCCGAGCCGGGCAGGCCCCACAAAAGGTGGCGATCCTGGCCCCCTCCTCACTTTCTTCTCATTGGCCCAGGAGCCGGAGGCTGTGAAGGTCACGCCCTTGTCCAGGGCCTCTCAGGGAAACCTGGTCCTTGGCCCATCTGTTCTTCTGGGACATCATTCCAGGTGTGTGGCCTTTGCAATGTAGCCTTGGGAAAGGACAGGGTAGGGCGACTGAAAGAAAAACAAGAGACTTAGAGAGAGGAGAGACAGGGGAGGGAGGCGGTGTCCTCCTCTCCACAGAGTTCCAGCCCTGGAGCCAGGTTGTGGCTCCTAGAGCTGTGAGGGACAGCCCCCTCCTCCTGTCCCCTGGGACTCTACCCCAACCCACCAACAGCCTTGTCTTGGTCAAGACCTGCCTCCCCTGCTTTTGGCTTTCCCCCTTGCTCTTTGACCCTTCCCTTCACTGGCTTTCCTGGTTGCTGGCTGTCTGTATTCCCTCCATCACACACTCGCCCCCTCACCCTGTGCCACCCGTGGCTTTCTATCAGGCCCTGGCAGAGAAAGTCTGGGATATGATGTGCCCATCTCGCACCCTGCTGATATTAAGTGGGTGCTCCCCGGGTGCTCCTGGCCTCTGCCACTGGGCCCATACTCATGGGAAGCCCCCCTAAGTCCCCAGGGCCCTGGTTAATGGAGAGATGTGGCTCCCTGGGGCACAGCCAAGGAATCCCCTGGGTTGGCATGGCATCCCTGCTCCCAGCCCTCTGTCACACCCCCTTTTGTCAGCTCAGACCTCTGTGGGGAAGGGACGCTTTAGGCAGCACCCTTGCTGTCCCATGGGCACCAAACCCTGTCCCCAGGTGGAGTGACAGAATGCAGATAGGAAAAGAAGGGGAGAGGGGCCCCAGGCACAGATGTATATCCACAGAGGTGATACAGCTGTGCACCCGTGGAAATAGACATGAGCTTATAAAGATAAATGTATGTGTGGAGAGGTACATAGCCCCTGACACGGTCATGCATGCACACAGCTTGACATTTGCACTCAGACACAGATACACAGCCAGGGAGGGACATTCCCTCAGAAGTGTTTGTACAGATCCAGAGAGAAAGCTGGGCACATGCAGGCGTAGCTGCATATCCGTGTAGGTAGAGACACGTGGATACACAGAGGCAGAAGTAGGTGTGGTCCATGTGCATGCACAGAGATGGGCGTGTGTGCAAAGAAACGGATATGAATGCACAGTGTTGGGTGCAGCAGCAAAGGGCATATTCACACTCAGAAGTGGACAGTCACCCACAGAGAGATTAATGTACCTGGCGCCTGATGCACAGACACTAAGATGAGCTCGTGTGCCCGGGGAAACGGCATGACCAGATGATGACGCAGGGGCACCCAGAGACGGACAGTCTGTACGGTGTCTGTACAGTGGCTGAAACAGACAGGTACGGCAGCAGGCCCTCCACCCCGGACATACTCACAGTGCCTCTCAGAGACAGCTCTTGTGTCCGCTAGGCGTCTGAGATGCAGCAGAGCCGGTCATGGAGAGGGGAGGCATCTCTATGCCAAGACACCCCCTGGAAGTTTGAAAGTGTGTCCTCAGGGCTCGGCTGTGGGAGTCTGCACAGCCAGGCTCTGGCAGGGCCCCAGGAGCCTGGGGTTGACTGTCCCGTGGGCGGCTCAGGCACTAATGACCCTCGTGGGCAGGCAGCGGGCAGCCTTTGTTCCTTCTCCACCACCCCCCCTGGGGACCGGCAGAGAGCTGGAGGCCAGGCTGCTGATTGGAGGGAGGGCAGCCGGGCAGGGGAGGCCCCACCCACTGGAGACTTCCAGGAGAGGTGAAAAGTACTAGCAGACCTGAGGTCTGTGTAGCCTTTGGGGTCCGCGCAAACGGAAGGCAGGATAAGGGAGAGCATGTACCCGAGCTTAGTGGGACTGGCACTCTTCCTCACACTCCACATGCCTTAGCCATCTAGTTCTCACAATGCCTGACAGGTAGCCACTCTCATCTCACAGCTGAGGAAACGGAGGCCTGGAGAGGCGAAGTGACTTGCCCAAGATCACACAGCTAGTAGCTGCCAGAGTTGCCATCTGAACCCACATGGTCTTGGTTCTGGGAGTTGCCAGGCAAAACCACATCGGACCCTTGCCATTCCCCCTGGGGCAGAGGGGGGATTTAAAAGGACACGCTTTGGGCACAGATGAACATGGGCTCAAATTGATAGGGATGCTTCCTAGCTGTGTGTTCCTGAGCAGTTCAATCCGTCAATGACTGCTGAGCACTTAGGATGTGCTAGGGGCAGGTGTGCAGTGGGGACGGAGACAATGAGATGATGTGCCCTGGGCCAAGCCCCGTGGGAGGCACTGGAGCGAGAAGCCCAAAAAGACAGAGGATGTTCGTAGAAGAGTCAGGTGGCCCTCGCTGTGCTAGGGGAGCACCCAGAGAGGGAGCATTTTCCCAGCTTGGGGTGGGGACAGGGCAACTCCCTGGAGGAGATGACAACATCCATCAAGGGACGATGGAGCAGAAGGAGGGGCAGTTCAGGCTCAAGGAACAGAGCATGAAGAGTGGGAGAGATTCTGGTGGCTGGGGTGTGGAACTCAAGACGGGAAGCAAGTCTGACATGTCCTGAAGAAGCATGAATGCCAAGCAGAGGACTTGGGATTTTATCCTGAGCAGAGGGGTGATGCAGTCAGACCTGCATTTTGGAGAGATCGGGGCAGAGCGCAGTTTGGAGGGGAAGAGAGCAGACAAGAGCAGAGGCACGCAGACCAGGGAGGAGTTTGCCGTCATCAGGCAGGGGCGAGGTGGTAAGCGTGGCCAGCGGTGGCTTCAGAAGTTGCCTCAGAGCCTAAAGTGGTCACCAAGCTCGAGCACGGACCGTGTACGTGGGGATGAGGGGCAGGGAATACGAGGCAGCCGCTACATTTCTGGCTCGTGGGTTGGTGGTGCCACCACCTTGAATAGGAAATCCCAGGGGAGAAGCAAGTTTGGGGGCAGCAGGGGTGGAGGGTGACAATGAGTCCACTGTGGATTCTGAGGGGCACTCTGGTGGTTACTACCGGTTGCCAACACAACAGCCTTCTGTGCCTTGCTCTTTGCTAACCGAATCCTGGTTTTGTTGTGGTAGCACTATGCCGGCAGTCCTGTAGACCCTAGAGGAGGGAGGGGAGGGGAGAAAGTGAAGATAAGAAGTGTAGACATTGCTCTCAAGAAGCCTGGCTCTGACAGCCAGCAGATGGGTAGGGTGGGAGCTGGAGGGAAACACAGGTTTGTGAAAAGTGTTTGTATCCCCACCCACCCCCATGATGGGGAGGCGTCCGTGTGCCTAAATGTGGATGACAGAAGGAAAGCCAGGCAGGAGAGCCTGGGGACCCAGAGAGAGGGGAGCTAATGGAAGGTTAGGTCCCAGAGTCAGTGAGAGGGGCAGGCGCTGGGCATAGGAGGTGGAATTGGCCTTGGACAGGATGTGGAACCATCCTGCAGCTGGAGGGAAGGGACAGATGAGCACTTGGAGACAGGGTGGGAGATGACGGGGTGTCTGCTTTCCATCTCTTTGTTTCTGCTGGAGGGGCTGGGGTTGTCTGGAAGGGGAGACTAGTGACCATCGGGATGATGTCCGTGGAGGGTCAGAGAGAGAGCCACCTAGGGAAACACAGAGAGGCTAAGGGTGGAACTGAGACCCGAGAAGAGGCTGGAGACGCTGACCAGGCACAAGTGCTGACCGCACGGTGACGGAGCGCTGCCCAGCAGTGCTCGGGGGTCCAGGGCAGGTGAGAATACAGCCAGCTGGGCTTGTCCCGCAGATGTCACACCCTGGAATCTAAGCCCAAGATGAGGCAAAGGGTATGCCAGGTGTGGGACAAGCACAGGGAAAAGAGACTAGAGGTTGCATGGAGTGTGGAAAGAGACGGCTGTTTCAAGGGTAGGATGAACATTTCAGAGGTGAGTGATCCTAGGGATAGCAGGTCGAGGGTGTAGTCGTGATGACGGTGACAGTCTTCCATTCTCCGTGGCTCAGCCGATGCCATCACAGCCCTGCCTGCATCTTGGTTTTCACCGTTCCAGGCATGCAGACAGCTTCTGCCTGCAACCCCTGTGCTTTGGAGCCATTCCTTGCCCCTCACTGGTACAACTTGAGGCCATAGTCTACACCATCTGCCGGAAGTGTGCATGCGGGTTGCCCACCATGGTAGCTGCTCATCAACATACCCTCAACTGGCTTCTTCTCAACCCTGTCTCACTTCCCCACGCCCCTGCCTGTGCTTCCTGGATCACCTCCCAAATAAGCTGCTTGCCCTTGAACCCTTGTCACAGAGACCTCCTGCAGAGCAACTCAACCCAAGACAGCAGGCTCAAACCCTCTGGGTATTAGTTACCTCCTCTGTAAGACAGGGAGTCTAATGTGTGCCTGTGAAATTAGAAGGGCGCAAGCACACGGACGTGAGGCTTCTGGCACCAGGCCCAGCACCCAGCAGGCACTAGGTCAGCGCTCTCTCTCATACACACAGTGGGTGTTTAATAAAAGCTCCTGTCCCCTCAGATGGCCCAGGACAGCGGAACCTTTCTGTCGCTGCCAATCAAGTCCCACAGGTAAGCCAGTCTCTGAGGCCTGACCAATCCCGATGCTCTCTGCTGAACACCTTCCAGGTGGCTTCTCATGCTGCCAGCAAAGGGCTCCCTGGGGACCTCCTGACACAAGGATGGGCCAGAGGCAACATGTGGTCTGGCAGATGGCCGTCTGAGTTCCTCTGAGGTAAATAAAAATCGTGCTTCCTCCCATGCGCGGAGCCAGGCGCCAGCTAAGACTTCCCGTGCACCATCTCATTGTATCCTCTCAGCAAGTGACAAGCTACTATCTTTTCCTCTTCACGCTCCGGAGGCTGGGCCTCAGAGAGATTGGGCGACTTTTCCAGGCTGCTCCCACCCTGCAGGAGAGGCAGAGTCAGGATTCAGATCTCGTCAGCAGAGCCCAGCCTCCTCACTGGGAGGCGGGAACATGCCGTGTTACCCTCAGATGCCCTGTCCTGGTGTATGCTCTGCACAGAGAAAGAGCTTCACGAACGAGCCCTGGGCTGAACTGAACCAAATGGGGCTCCTAGAGGAAGTAGAAAGATCCTGTTTCCTGTCGGACGCAGAGCCCTTGAGGGCATTTCTGCAGCCTGACTCCTAGCACACAGCCTGGCGCAGAGTGATGTTCAGGCAGGGTTTGTGGATCAGATGAGGGAATATGTAAGATTCTTGGCCAGAATTTCCACCGCAGCCAGATCTGTGATCGCATTAGGAGGTGCGCACTACTATCTTCCCATTCTGTTATTCCAGCTGCCTTCTTCCGTGAAAAAGACTTTTCCCTCATCAGCTGTCCACTACCACCTCCTTCACTCTCCCTCTGGGCTAATCTGAGCATGTCCGAGGGATGCTCATCCCACCGGTCCCACTAATCAGAGCCTCCCGTCAGCAACCCCCACGCGCGGGGATGGGAAAGCCCGTAGCAAACACCCACGACCTGCTGCAAGACACGTCACCCCGTCCCATTTCCGTGACAGCCCCGTAGGCAGGGCTGAATGGCCCCACTGGACAGATGAGTAAGACTGAGACCCAGAGGAGTTAGATGACTTGTTCAAGGCCACCTGGCCACCTGGCAAGCTAGAGGCTGAGCTGGAGCGGACGCCAGATCTGCCAAGCCCCCAAACTCATGCCCTTTCTCCACCACCAAATTCCGTTCCCTCCCGAAGTTGCTTCCCTTCCTGATGTGGTGTGGCCAGTGCAGATCTCAGAATGTGTAAACCTGGTGACACTAGATCCGTCACCTTAGAGTGGAATGAAGGAAGCACCTGGGGATCGGCTTACTAATTCGAGGGGCTGATGAATTATTCAGGTTGCCATTAACTTAGAGGCCTTTTCAGCCTCACCTGTCTTTCCCCTGCTCCAGACCCTCAGATCCTGGCCTGCCCCAAGCTCTACAGACCTGTGGGGGCCCCGGCGAGGAGATGCTGGCAGAGCTGGGGTCCTGTCTGCTGCTGGCAGTGGCTCTGCTGGGCTCAGGCCCCGGGGCCCAAGCCATGACAGGTAGGAGCTCCTGAGGACAGGTGGGCTCTGGGAGGGGGTAGACGAGTGGCCAGGTGGCTGCCAGGGCCTCAGGAGGCTTCCATGTGGGAGGACAGAAAGCAGGAGGCCATATGGAGGGAGTTGGCTGAGTTGAGGATGTATTTGTTTCTGAGATGGTGGAAGACGGTATTTACGGGGTGCCTGCCATGTGCTGGGTGCTTCACAAATATGACTGCATTTCATCTTCATGGCAAACTTCAAGGTGGGCATGAGTTCTCCATTTCACAGGTGAAGAAACTGAGGCAGAGAGAGAGGTTAAGTAACCTGTCCAAGGAGGCATAGTTACCAAGGGCTAAGGGAATGGCTCAGAGAACAACTGAAGGTTTAATGCCGGAGGGAGCCTTTACTCTCCTCCTGACAGCCTGCTGTACTTCCCCACTGCCAGTGGGTGAAATCACAGTCCCTCCTAATGGCATTCAGTGTCTCTCAGGTTTGGCCCTAATCTCCGTAATATCCAGCCTCGGTTCCCTGTGTCCCTTGGGCATCCCATGTCCTGGCAGAGGATATACCCCCCTTCTGGAAATGCTTCCCCCTCAGAGCTTTCACCCCACTGTGCCCTCTGTCTGGAAGGCCCCTTTTCTCTTTTTCCATCTGAGAACCTCTGGGTCATCTATCAAACTCAGGTCAAACACCACCTCCTCCAGGAAGACTTCCACACGCTTTCGTCCGCCTCAGATGCTCCCTTCTTGGAGCTCGCAGAGCCCTCTGCCTGCACCCCGGTCCCGGGTGGCTTTGTGCTGCTCCAGCCCTGTAAGCGTTGTGTGTCTGTGAAGCCAGGGGCGGGGGTGGGGTGGGGTATCACCTCACTGGTCTTCAAGGGGCGTGCATGTTACAGGGGCTCAGCAAACAGCCCTCAGTGCCGGGTTTTCCTGCAGGTTCGGGTGGGCCTCCAAGAAGGAAAGGTGACGGTGCCACTCACCTAGTTGGTGGCAGAGGTGGGCTGGGTATGCAGGCGTCTCACTCCTTCCTGTAGGGGGAGAAGCTAGCTGTTCCCATTTTCCAGCCTTTGGGGCTTCAGTGGCCCTGGGGTGACCCTGGGGTGACCCTGGGGTCCTGGGTGGCTGGCTGATTGCTGGAGGACACGGCCTCCCCTTGTGCTGGCGCCTGAGGCCTCCTTGGCCACAGGAATTCTGCTCCAACGCTCCCAGGGCTTTTCCTGTCCCGTGGGCAGGGCCGGGGGAAGTACAAGGACAGGCACTGGACAGAATGTCCCTCTGTCTTCCTACCATAAAGGATGAATCAGACACGGTTCCTGCCCCAGCCTGCTGCGGGGGCCAGCAGAGAGCTGACAACCTGAGCCGGGTGTGCTTCTGCAGCCCTTTCTCCCCGGTGCTCGCAGCCACCCCATTTCCCAGATGCGTGACTGAGGCTGGGGGAGGCTAAGTGACCGTGAGAGCTTTGTTCACGTCATTTCCTCCCTCCGAATTGTCCCCAACTAACAACCTTCTTGTTCCTCCTGGCCAGACTCAAGTATCACCTTCCCTGTGAATCTTGTCCCTCCCCTAACAGTGCTGGCCCAGCAAGATTGGCCTCCCTCCCTGCGGCCCCCAGAGCCCCTGTGTGGCCGCAGTCACGCTGCTTGGCTTTGTCTCATTTGCCTAACTCCCAGCCCCTGACCAACTCCCCCCTCCTCCCCGTTCCACAGTACTCTCCCCAGGGAGACACCCATTCTGAGTCAGCACAGGCCTGGCTACATGCTTTTTGACCTTTTCAGTGAACAGAGCTAGGAAACTAATTTTTTTAGAAATAAAAATAAATCTTAATTTCAATTCAAATCGAGGACCACAAGTGTTCTATTTCATTTTTTAACTTTATCGTTGTATTGCTCTCCTCTTACACTGAACGTCTTAGCTTCTATTGACATTAACATACATGCTTTATTCCGATTTATAAAATACTATAAAATAGCACTACTGACTGTTAGTCAAATAGTAAGTCTACTGAGTAATATTTCAGATTTCTTCGTGGTTCATTTTGTGCTGGGGATATATCCCTCTAGGAACATACAGTCAAAAAAAAGTGTATTTCCACGTCATTTGGAATCTTTTTTCCCCATGTGAATGTGCCTCCAACCTGATACATGGCTAAGTTTATTTGTTTCAGCTTGGAATATTTAGGGATTACTTAAAAATGTCTTCTTTTTTTTTTTTTTTTTTGCCAAGTTAAAAATTATATTAAAAGTTATTCATGATTATAAAGTCAAAATCATAAAACAAGTCGCACTGAAAGAGGTCTAGACGGCATGCCTTTTCTTCCCCCCTGTTGACTCCATCCCCTGACAGAGAATCACTTTTATTAGTTTCCTTCCATTGTTTTCTTTTTTTAAATATAAGCAAATATGTGCATATGAGAATGTACTTTTAACCGCAACAAGCTGTGCGCATTTTCACTCAGGGCGGGGGTATTATCATTTGTAATGTTTAAATTCCTCCCTGCACACGTGTAGGGTCTGGCACATAGTTCTATTTTATCTAAAATTATAGGTCCACCCTGACATTTCCTATCTCCTTTCCCTGCTTTATTTTTCTCCACAGCACTAATCACTATTCAATACGCTCTATATTTTACTTACTGTGTTTATCATCCACGTTCCCCACCAGAATGTAAATTCCACGAAGGCGAGAATTTTTGTCTGTTCTGCTCCTGCTGTAACCGCAGCACCTAGAACATTGCCTGGCACTCAGATGATGTTTGTTGAATAAATAAAAGAATGCTTGATAAGTATTTGAGGAATAAGCAAATGAATGAGCACACATAGGCATAAATGAATTGATTTAGGGTCGTGGCCTCATGCTCCCTCAGCCCAGCCCATCCCAAAGACCCAGCTTTGTAGCTGGGCCCATCCCCCAGGACCTCAGCACTGACTGAGCCATTCTTCCCTCTTGCCCCAGGTGTTAAATGTGGGGGTGTGCTCTCAGCACCTTCCGGAAACTTCTCCAGCCCCAACTTCCCCAGGCTCTACCCCTACAACACAGAGTGCAGCTGGCTGATTGTGGTGGCCGAGGGTTCCTCTGTGCTGCTCACCTTCCACGCCTTCGACCTGGAGTACCATGATGCCTGTGGCTTCGACTACCTGGAGGTCTACAACGGCGCCTCAGGAGACAAGGGCAACCTGCTGGGGAGGTTCTGCGGCCGGGTGCCCCCGCCGCCCTTCACCTCCTCCTGGCATGTCATGTCCGTCGTCTTCCACTCAGACAAGCACGTGGCCAGCCGCGGCTTTTCTGCTGGCTACCAGAAAGGCAAGGGGGTCCTGGCAGGGGAGAGGGTGGCCCTGCAGGGGCAGGGGGGAGGAAGAGAAGTGGGCTAAGGCGAGACTTGCAGGCTGCTCCAGAGCCTGGGTGACCCTGCTGTCGCAGTTCCGGGGCAAAGGCAGCCTCTGGCTGTGGTCGTGGTGGTTGTGGGTTCCCACCTTCACGGCAGTAGTCCTGGGAGTCCCCAGGAGGGTCTCGCTGTACTCTTACATTTGCCATCATCCTTCTGATCCCATGCCATGGCATCAGGACAAAGGAGAGGACGCCATGCTCTGGGGATGGGCAAGAGACCCCTCCCATCCCAACCCAAGTCCTCCGGAGTATAAGATATGCATGGGTCTGTGTGGGGCTGGTGACACTCTCCCTCCCTAAGTCTTTCCTAATGCCTCTTATATTGCAGGTCCCTAACCCTCCCTCCCTCAACCAGGCTGGAAACCTGCACCATAGTCTAGTGAGGGGGGCAGAGGCCTTCTCCTTGCCTTCCTCCTTGACTTATTCCTCCTGTCTCCAGGCCTCTCTGCATACGCTCAAACCTCCTCCCTTCTCCCAAGGCCCAAACCAAGGGCCTAAATCATGTTAGTTCAAGCAATAGACAACCACAGAGACTCCTGGTACACAGGGTCTACCAACAGCAATTAGGGGGCTCAGGTGGGACTGCTCCCCAAGCTGGCTTTAGAGGCACAGAATTGTGGAATGAGAAAGCACAAGAATCACACACTGATCTCATCATAGTTTTGGATGCTTAGGTTTAAAAAAAAATTTTTTTTTAATGTTTATTTATTCTTGAGAGAGAGAGAGAGAGAGAGAGAGAGAGAGAGACAGAGCCCGAGCAGGGGTGAGGCAGAGAGAGGCAGAGAATTGGAAGCAGGCTCCAGGCTCTGAGCTGTCAACACAGAGCCCAGTGTGACTGTGAGATCATGACCTGAACCAAAGTCAGACACCTTACCGACTGAGCCACCCAGGTGCCCCTAGACCCTTAGGTTTTTGTTTTGTTTTTTTTTTTAATTTTTTATTTTATTTTTTAAAAATTTATTTATTTTAAGACAGAGAGAGACAGAGCATGAATGGGGGAGGGTCAGAGAGAGAGGGAGACACAGAATCCGAAACAGGCTCCAGGCTCTGAGCGGTCAGCATAGAGCCCGACGCAGGGCTCGAACTCACGGACCGCGAGATCATGACCTGAGCTGAAGTCGGACGCTTAACCAGCTGAGCCACCCAGGCGCCCCGACCCTTAGGTTTTTTAAATGTTAGGATATCAAAATCATAATACCATGAGCGATGTTTTCCAACATTTTTAAAACCAGGAGTACCTGTATAGCAAATGGAACCTTATGTTAATCCCCTATACGTAAAAGAGAGGAAAGCAATATTTTATTGGTATGCCTTTACTGTATTTTGTAAGTTCATGTCTTTAGCATTTACTTATTATATGTCAATCACTGAAACCATAAGTCAATATTGATGGCCTCCAACGAGTGAAGTGTTTATATATGACCTGTGACTGTGGACACTGTCTTTCAGTGCATTAAAGATAGTTTGAATACAGCATAAGAGTGAAACTTGCCCCACATGCCAGCAGACAGATGCCCCAGGTGGCTCCTGTGAACCCCCAGAGCATGGTTTGAAAGCCTCAGCTAAGGGTGTTAGTGTTGAAAAGGGTCTCGCGACTGTCAAAACCTGCTCTCTCATTTCACAAACAATAAATTTGAGAGCAGAGAGGGAGTGTGGCTTCCCAAGGTTACACGGCTGTGGGAGGGGGAAATGCTGAGACAAGAAGTCAAGCCCTTAGCCGCCCAGCCCAGTGTAGTTAGTGCCCGGTTCACAAAGCCGTGCCCTGGGGCGAGATTCTGGAGTCTTGGGACATACCAGCGTGCCCCTCCCTGCCGGTGGCCTCCAGCTGGTCGGGTCATTCGTCATCACCCACCTCCTAATTGTACTGGCTGCTCTGGCTTCCAGAGGGCTTTTGCCAGCATCTTAGACTCTTGCATGAGCCCGAGCCTGGTGGATCGGGCCGGGCAGGTCTTCTGACCTCTCCTACTCCCACGAGGCTCAGGGGTCACTTGCCCGGGGCCACACCCCCAAGAGAAGACAGAGCTGAGAGGACATCTCAAGTCTCAGACCACAAGCCCATTTCAAGTCCACCTCTACTTCATCAGATCCTCTCTCCAAGCCTCAGCTTGCGCATCTGTCACAGAGGTCTGAGAACACTCCTGAACTCACAAACCTCAGGCTCTGTGCCCCACGGGCCTCACAGGAGGGGACAGTGAGAATCAGCAGGTCAAGGGCCCGGGCTCTGCAATCAGGCAATTCCAGGTCTCCCTGTTACCAGCTGGGTGACCCGTTGTCAGAGCCCTGCCCGTGTTCCTGGGGCCTCGCCACGTCAGCGGCTCCTGCCAACCTCCGTGTCTCTATTTGAAGGCTTCCTCTGAAGTCTCAGTTGGTCACCTGTATCCCCAGCAGCCTCGGCCTGGACTCTCAGGGGTTGGTGTACAAACGCCCCAGCTCCTTTCTCTCGGGTGACAGAACTCTGAGGCGTGTGCCTGACACCCTTCCCCAGAGTTCCCCAGCAGGGCTCAGCAGCTGGCCTAAGAATACCCTTTAGTGACCCTGGCTCCCTCATTCCTCACATGGGGCCCCCCGTGTCTCCCAAATAAACTCCTTGTGCTCAGACCCTCGTCTCAGGGGCTATCTGGGTGAACTCAAACTCCCCCAGGTAAGTTACCTTCTCTGTGCCTCCATTTTCTCAACCATAAAGTGGGGAGAACCACTGAGCATTCCTCTAGGGTGATGGTAATGGTGTCAGAAGACTGTGTAGGTGCTAAGGGCCAGGCCCGTGCCTGATGCTTAGCAACTGCACGGGGGATGGTGACGAGGTTCCCATGACATACCTGTGGGAGCGGCACGTTGGGGGGGGTCCGGTTCCCAAGGGAAGGGGTCCAGGGGATCACGGGGAGGAAGAAAGGTCAGTTAAGAAGGGCTTCCTTGCAGATGTGTGTGGCGGCGTCCTGACGGGCCTTTCGGGGGTCCTCACCAGCCCCGAGTACCCCGACAGCTATCCCAACAACGTGGAGTGCCGCTGGGTGATCCGGGCCGCCGGCCCCGCCACTGTCAAGCTGGTGTTCGCGGACTTCCAGATGGAAGGCAATGAGGAGTGCACCTATGACTACGTGGTCGTCCTTGGGGGGCCCGGCCCTGCCCACGGGCATCACTACTGTGGCAGCACCAGGCCCCCCACCCTCGTGTCGCTGGGCCACGAGCTACAGGTGGTTTTCAAGTCCGACTTTAACATTGGAGGTCGGGGCTTCAAGGCCTACTACTTCTCAGGTAGAAGGGGCTGGGGCTACACCTTGAGTCCCCCGTGCATGCTGTGTCTGTCCCTGCCCGGCCAGTACCAAGGCATAAGCATGTCTCGGCCTCTCTGAAGTCTTCCTGATTGAGTCAGAGTTACTCCCTTCTTTCAACTCCTTTAGCAATGATCTAACACTCTCATTTATGTTTGTGCTCTGCACATTGATCTCCCCTGACTGTGAGTTCCTACGGGTTTGTCTTTGTACCTGCCGCATAGAAGGGATTCAATTAATGTTTGTACAAATGAATGAATGAACTCTTGACAGTGAAGTGAACTAGACAGTGGAGGAGACGGAGAAGGAAATAGACAATGAAAACCCACTGGGATCGGTGCTAACAGTAAGGATCATGGATGACTTCCTGGAGGAGAAGAGAATCCGGTAGTGTTTTGAAGGAGGCTGAAGGAAGGGAAGGGTATTCCAGGTAGAGAGGTCAGCATGTGCAAAAGCACAGAGGACAGAGAGGGCTTAGTGTGCTTGTATGCTGGATGTTTGGTGAGGCTGGGAGGTAGGGCTGGGTGAGGGGCAGTGAGAAAATGAGCAAGGTCAGGCCATGAGCCACCTTGTCTGTCAAGTCCAAGTTTGGACTCCACTCTGAGGACACGTATTAGGTCCTGTTACTGAATTCCTGACGGGGCCAGCCCTCGTGGACTGCCAACTGGAATGAGAGTCCCAGCTCCCAGCCAGTTTCAGTGTGAAGCAGGCTTTGGGATCAATTGTCTGGTTTACTGGCCATGGTGCCCATCCCCTGCCAGGGTGGTTTTAGGACCTTTATGGCGCCCATTGCCCCAGCTGTACTGCAGAGGGTGACAGTCTCCACCCTTCTCATCATTGCTCCTCTGTCCCTCTCTCCCCAATCCAGGAGAATGCCAGGAAGTGTACACGGCTGTGCGAGGCAACTTCTCCAGTCCACAGTACCCCAGCTCCTACCCTAACAACATCCACTGCCACTGGACCATCCGCCTGCCTCCTGGCTACCGGGTCAAGGTGTTCTTTCTGGACCTAGATCTGGAGGGTCCCAGCAGCCTGACCAGGACCTGCGACTTTGACCATCTGGCAGCCTTTGATGGGGCCAGTGAGGAGGCGCCCCTCCTGGGGAATTGGTGTGGCCACCACCTGCCAGCACCAGTCACCTCAAGTCACAACCAGCTTCTGCTTCTGCTGCACACAGACCGCAGCACCACCCAAAGGGGCTTCTCTGTGGCCTACATTGGAGGTCAGCTGGGGTCGAGGGTGTGGGTGTGCTGATGGGGGAGGGCAAGGCTGGGGTCCCAGGTCTTTGTAGCTTCCTCTCTCCAACCCACCAGCTGGTGTCCTCAGCCTCTTCCCGTGTGGCTACAGCATGGCCATCTGCTGCCCTGGGACCTCTGAGGCCTGCCAGTGTGGCCCTTGCTTATTTCTACTACCACAGGGCCCTGCCTTTCCAGTTTCCAACTCCACGATCCCTAATCGCCCTGACCCCATCTGTCTCTTTCCCCCTGGGGCCCCTGGCCTCTCTTGAGCTGTGGCTTATCCTATGTATCCAGGGGCAGTCCACAAAATATGGCCACGTTACTCATGATAAACAATTGGCATAACCATGGAGATGCCAACAAGCTTTGCTTGTGTCGGTCATAAATCCTGACTGACAGTGGCTTGCACAAATGGCCTTTTTTCCCCCTCACATAACAAGAAGTCTCCAGCTAGGCAGCTGCTTTGTTGGTTCAGGGACTTTAACACCGTCTCAGCTGGTATCTCTGGGATTCTCTTGGCCTTCTGACTGCAAGATGGCTGCTACGACTCCAGACATCATGTCCGTGTTCCAGGCTGGAAGAGGGTAGGGGAGACGCCAGCTACAAGTGTCCCATTATCAGGAAAGCAAAAGCATTTTCAGAAGCCCTGAAAAGACTTCTTGGTCTCATTAGTTTGAACTTGGTCAGATAGTCATGCCTAGCTTCAGAGGCAGCTGAGGAAGCTGGTACTGGGCTTTTCCAGCTTCCATCGTGCCCGTTAGAGTTGCCAGCCAGCAGCGTCCACCATCTCTGCTGTCTTCTCATCCCCTTCCCTGGGCCATGGGCCCAGAAATGCCTGTGCTCTGGACCCATTTTTTCCCTCTGTCTGAGCAGAGTGAAGCTCCTCATTGTGCAGATGTGGGAAAGGAGGTCCAGAGAGAGGAAAGACCACCACAGTCACACAGGCAGTGGGGACACAGCCAGGACCAGAACTCATGCCTGCCTCCTTTGTGGCTGAGCGGGGCCCGAGGGGAGGGAGTCAGGGCTGAGCTCAGACAGACCAGGGCCACATCCAAATGCTGCCATTTACCAGCCATCCAATGGCCTCATCTGTACAAGGGGTTGGTAAGTGCCCTAGGTAGGTGGTCATTCAGATGAAATGAGGCAGACAGGTCCCAGTGCCTGACTCTGAGCACATGCTTGCTGAGGGTGGATTTTTTTCCCCTCCTGTGTCTCAGGCCTGGTCTGCATTCAAAACATCTCCCCTCCATCCTTACCCCCAACACAAGTGGTGATGGGGAGGGAGACAGCAGAGCCTCAGCGACCTAGTGGCAGCAAAGTGACCTGGGCAGACCCACCCTCCAGGGCCTCAGTTGTTTCCATCCATAAACTGGGGGAGGAGAGCTGTCCCTTTTTAGAGCAACCCCTTCTCGAGTTTCACTCTAGAGAGCCAGGTGCCATGGGATCTGCCACAGCCAGCTGGTAAGTTGTCTTTTCTCTGCGGGTCTCAGTTTTTCCATCTGTAAAATGAGGACACTGGCTGAAGGATCTTTAAAATCCCCTTTGGCTCTAATAGTCTTGTTTCTGGGCATGGGTCCTCTCCCAGCTCTGTGGGATCTTGGACAAGCCCCTTTTCCTTTTGGTTCCTCCAGAGACTGAGGGTGGGGCAGCTCAAATCCTGGCTCTGTTCCAGGGCCAGGAGCCCCACTCCCACCCACCCCACCACCCTCCCCAGATCCCCATGGGAGCCCAGGGTCAGACAGGGGCACTCACGCTGGGCCAGGCTCCAGATGTGGCCCAGGCTGCAGGCGGCCTCCCGGCTGGAGGACAAGCTCGGCATCAATCAGGGGTGACACACAGTTCAGCGCCACCGAGATCATCGTGGGAGACGGCGGGCCCATAAATCCCCGACTGCCCAGACACCAGAGGCTGAAATATGTCTGAGGCATTTCCCGGAGAGGGGCTGAGAGTTCCAGGCCTCTGCCTGCCAGCTCCTCCCTTTCCCTCCCACCAGCCACCCCTTCCTCCCTTTCCACCGCCCCCGCCCCCCCCAGCATGGCGGCCCCCCCCCCCCCCCCAATACACATGCTCAAATACAAAATACACCCAGACACAAAACATCACACCATCTTGTGTGTATAGGGTGGGAGATACCCAAAGACTCGATCCTATAGACTCAATAATGGTTAAAATCCTAACTCAACCACCGCAAACAGCCTCACCTCTCAGAGCTTCAGTTTCCGAAACTGTAAAATGGGTTTAGTTGTGTCCACCTCATGGAGTCATCGTGGGGAGAGAGTGAGGCTTCCTTCACCACCCTCTGCAAAACTGTTCTGCTCCCCCCACCTCCCCACATATCCCCTGCTTTCCCTGTTTCTTTTTTGCTTGATTTTCTTTCAGCCCACTCTGACATGTATTTTATTTTACGTATGTATTGCCGCCTCGCCCAACTAGAATGTAAGCTCCAAGAAGGCAGGGAGTTTGGGCTCTTTTCTTCCGTTTCTGTTTCCATGGTGCCTGTTAGAATTGTGCCTGCACATAGCGGGCCATCAATAAATATGTGTTAAATGATTGAATGAATTGCCTGGCACATCGCAAAGAGATCAGCAAATAGTAGCTCTTCTTATGGTTAAGAATATTCACTTATTCATTCATTCATTCATTCATTCAGCACCCCACGGCACCTGCCAAGTTCTGTGCCAGGCTGCACGGACACGAGGGGGCCTGGTGCCTGCCCTGGGGAGCTCATAGTCTGATGGAGCTAAGTGGAGTAACACATGTAAAACATCCCCATAGGGCTGCATAGGAGTCTCCCCTCTCCGAGCCTTGATTTTCCCACACACCACCCTTTGGGTGGGGTCTGGGGGTGCTGGGGGCAGACCACCTGCCCCTTAAGGCCTCCAGCCCCTCCTTCCCTCCATCCCCAGTCGTGCCCGTGAACGTGAGCTGCTCCCGCACGGATTTCCAGATCCTGATCTCCGCACAGGCACTGGCACCGCTGGAGCGGACCAAGGTCTACCTGGGCAGCCGGAGCTGTGCCGCCCAGGAAGTCGGCAGCACCTTCCGGATCCAGGCCCGCTTCGACACCTGCGGCACCGAGTCTCAGGTAGGAGCAGGGGCGGGTGGGGGGGGGGGGAGGAGGGCAGGCGTGAGGGAGAGGGTCTGACCCCTGCTGAGAGGCACCTGTGATTCCTGAGAATTCTGGCTCCAGTGACCCCACAAGCCTGGGTGCAGAACTCAGCCCCTCTTGGCTTTACCCCAACAAACTTGCTCAGTGTAGACATGACAAAATACTCAAACAGGGAAGACAGAGCAGGGGTCCCCGCTGCACAACGCAGTGACGGCCAAAAGCCCCTACTGAAGGCTCCTCCTGCAAGGCCCTGACCCTGACCATCCTCGGAGGCCTTCCTGCCGTTCCTTGCCTTCTCCTGGGCACTCCTCGCCACCCAGTCCCCACCCCTTTAACATGCAGCCCTTGCTGCCCCCTGCTACCCCTTCCCCAACCCGTGATCCAAATCGTCCCTGGGCTCCACACAACAAAAGGGCCTTTCAAGTAACAGGAACCACTTCCCTCCAAAGGCAGTGAGGCTTACAAATAAATGAGTTTTTTCTACTATCCTTATATTTTTGAGGCTTTGACTCCGGGTTTGGGGCCCTCAGAGTCACTGGCAGCAGCCCAAGCACCTGGGATGTTTGTATTCTTAGGACAGATTGGAGGGGAAAGGAGAAACATCCCCCCCCCCCACCCACCCCCAGAAGGAGCTCCCATCCCCAGCCTTGGTATCCAGGGATGTGCCAGACTGGCTTGGCAGAAATCACACACTTTCCAGCAAACCCTACTGCCTCCAACATTAGCTGAATATATGCCTCTGGCCCCTCCAGCCCACCCCTCTGCTTCCCCAGCCTCCTGGAAATCTCTGTCCTTTAGACCTGAGGAAAAAGAGAAGTGGGGGCAGAGTCTTGGCTGCCAAGATGACCTGCCCTCCCCCCTACTCCATGCCCTGAGTCCTCATTCCGCAGAGCCATGAAATGATGGCGACAGAGAATCCCAGAGGCAGGGAACCATGAAGTCGAGAATGAGGGATCACAGACACTCGGAGCCTCCGAGTCATGGAACCACCACCCTAACTTGGAACCAAAAAATCATGGAATCTTGGAGCCAATATCATGGGAAACATAAAAGCTGAGAACCGTAGACTCCTGGATCCCTAGTGTCACCCTTATAAGTCCTAGACCCATGAGGACCAGTCTCTGCATCGGGTCACTTCCAAAGATGCGCAGCTCAAACAGCCAAAGGCAATGACAACCTTTCTGTGCATCTCTGAAAAAACACTGGAGACTTGATTTCATAACCAGAATACCAACCACGTCTTGTGTGGCTTTTTCCCCTCAAGTCTCTCACTCATCGAAAACCCCTAAAACTTCCCCTCACCCCCATTTTATGTGATTTTTTTTCTCCCTTCTTTACTATGTGGATTCACTTGACCCTTTCACTGGGTCCTCTGCCACTCACAGGTCCTGTCTTTCTTCATCCAGTAGCCCAATTCTGTATCACAAAAATCTAGGACATCAGTCTTCCCCAGAGGGTGTGGTGGCAGACAGGTTGAGGGTGCACATGCAGAAGCCTCTTTTGGGGACATGGAACCCGAGCCTTTTGGAAGCCCCTCTGTGACTCCCTTCCACACCCTTCCCCAGAGGGGTCGCTCTGCCCCTGCTTTTGCTCGCGTTGCGTTAGGCAGCTTCGCTGTTACGAAGCATCAGCTCAGAAGTGCCACCACTGGACATGGGTGGTTGGGCAGCCTGAGGGGTGTAACAGCTGCTGCAGACTTGGGGTTGGTGGGGAGACTAGCCCTGTGCCACTGCAGCCCCCTGCTCCAGGCCACGCCAGACTGCCCACTAAAACACTGCCCCTCAGTTCTGGACCCAAACACCCCACCATCTTCAGGGCAACCTGCCTCCTGCCTCCCTCATCTGTAGGGGCAGGGAGAGCAGCAGTGTGCCAGGCCCCCCACGTTTCACTCCTCGGTGGCTCTGCCTAAAGCTGGGTGGTGCCACTGGGATGGCCAGGGACTCCAGTTCCATGTCACTTGTGTGTCGTGTGACCTCAGACAAGGGATTTAACTTCTGGGCTTCGGTTTCCTAATCTATAAAATGGGGGTATTAATGGTGCCAGTAAGAGAGGGTCACTGTGAGAATTAAAGGAGATAATGCACTTGAAACAGAGGCTGGATCATGGCAAATGTCCCTGTTACTGCTGCCACTCTCTCTCATAGACCCCGCCTCCTTGAAGCCATCAAAACTGATATTGTCCTTCCAGACATCCCATGGTGTCCCTTTTACAGGTGGGGACACTGAGGCTCCAAGCAGAAAGGGAGTCAGTGGCCCAGCTGGGACTAGAACCCAGGCTCCTAGGGTTCTGCCCCCTTGGCACTGAGTCCCGACATATCTAGAGGAACAGGGTCAGCCCTTGGCCCCTTCAGGTGTGAGTGAGTGCCCTGTGACCCCCCACAGAGGAGGAACAACACGTCGGTGATCGTCAGCGTGCTGTACATTGACTTCTCGGCTGGTGGGCAGGAGGACATCCATGAGTACGAGGTCCGCTGTGAGCCACGGCGCAAGGAGGCTTCTATCCACCTGCTGTCTGGCTCCGACTGGCTGGGGCCCTATGCCGCCACAGCCGAGCATCTTCAGGAAGCGCCACCCAGGGATGAGGTGGAGGCCCTGGAGGGCCCTGTGGCCATGGTGACCCAAGACACCAGTGACATTGTCTTCCTGGGCCTTTGCATCCTGGCTGGAGTCCTCATGGTCATTGCCATCGTGGTCCTGATGCTGCTGTGAGCAGGCAAGGGACCTGGGTTCTGGCTTCCCTGGGAGGCAGCTTGTGGTCCCAAAACAGGAGCAGACCAGGCTTTATCGACTTGTTGGCGACCATGGACAAGTCACTGTCCCTCTCCGAGACTCAGTTTCCTAGGCTCACAGAGCTGGCGTGAGGCTCAGAGAAGAGCACGAATGGATATGAGCTTTGTAAACTATGTCATGTTGTGTGTGTGTGCAATTGTTACTAATTTGAAAGATGGCCTGCAGTAGAAAAGAAGACTCCTGTGTGTGTTACTTGGCATCGTGGATAGCTGTGGTCACTGGTCACTTGTTCTGTAACTTGCACAAGTGCTTTACCCACTCAGGATAAAAACAAGGGCATCTTTTATTTTTCCAACTAATGGCTCATCACAAGCCTTCATTGGCAGGAAATTTAGTAACTGTCTAGGGGCCTCCACTCTCTTGAACTGACTCAGGAACCTTGAAGACTTCATCCACAGCAGGCCAGTCCTGCCTCCAAACTCCAGAAACAGAGAGAAAGGGAGCCGAAACCCCACCTAGTGCTGTCATCCCAGCCTCCGCCATGTGGTGTCGCTGTTGGAGGCCGGTCGTGCGCATCCCAGTGGATCCTGTCTGAAGAGGTGGCGATGCCCTGCGAGGTCAGATCCCTGCATAAAACACAGGCGGGCCCACACTGTGCTCAGCAGTGAGGCTGGAAGCTGAGGACTGGTGTCTCTTTCATGCTGGCGTTTTTCCTTAAATAGATCGTGATCCTTGACTGCAAAGCTGACTGAAGTTCCTGTGTCTTTGTCCTCACCCCTGATGTTGAGTCCATTGTTTCCCTTCAGATGAGTTCTCTTTGGAGCCTGTGGACCTTCTCCTGCCATTGGACTTCACTCAGAGCTACTCCAGCATCCCCGTGTTTCTCTAAGTTCACACTACGGGGAGCATGGGTTGGGTTCCCGGTGCTTTCTGGCATCCTCAAGCAAATTGGTCCAGTCCCCCCAGAGCTCCAAGTGGAACAGCCTTGTTAATGAAAAATAAACAAAGAAATACAGTTATAATACACCACTTTCCCCTGCTCACCTGTATGTTTGCGTAATGAATCACTCACAATCAACAGAAATCTCCACCTTGACCATGCTGACCACGGTGCTCAAGTAAGTGAATTGGAGCCTGATTACAGTTCTTTCAACAACCCAACCAACATCCACTTGTTTCCAGCTTTGTCCCCATTGTTGTGACCGGCTCCAAGCACCCAGCAGCAAAGAAGTCAAATGAGATTTCCTGCCTTTGAGATGTCTACACCCAGGTGTAGCAGCTTCGGGGAGAGGGAGGGCAGACAGTAACTTGCAGAGAAAACGAGAGTGAGAAAAGCCAACAAAGTAAAAAATTAAGCAAGGGAAAAAGAGTTGCCTGGACATTAGGAGAACTGGTTCAAGTCCAAGTTCTTCTCATTAATTGTGCAAACCTGGGCAAGTCACTTTGAGTCTGTGGGCCTTGATATCTCCATCTGCAAAATGGGACCACTGTTCATAGCTTGCTGTAAGATCGTAGCAACACGATGAACTACGGAGGTCTGCCAGGATAATGTGCCAGCAGGCGAGTTTTGACTGACACCCCGGGGTGTTGGGAGCAGAGACCCCGTCCTCTTTGTCTCTCACCCACCTTCTCCCTTTCAGATTCCTCTAGCCACTGAGCTACCTTTGCCAGCCTACAAACCACCTGGGTCTCGGTTTCTCTGGACAAGACTGATTACACCCCCCTGCCCCCAAGGTCAGCCTTCCTGCCTGCAAAGCAGGGGTGATGACAAATAACACCCGCTGCATTGGTTCTGTGTGGGGCCTGAGATCATGCATGACAGTGGCCAGTACCTGAGAAGGATTCAGCAAACCTGTTATGACCTTGACCTATGAGTTCATACAAAAGCTCTGGCCTAGAACCCCAAGTTCTCGGCCCAACTTTGCCACTGGCTTGCTGTGTGGCCTTCAGGAACCCATTCCCTTTTCTGGCCACAGTTCCTGTTTTTAAAATATAACAAGCATCATTATCACCTCTGGCACCATCGCTGTCGTAGCGACGACTCATAAGCACCAGCTACATGGCAAGTGTTTGAGCTGTGTCAGCTGACGTAAGCCACCTTGTGAGGCAGACATAATGGCCCCCATTTCACAGATGAGGAAACTGAGGTCTGGGGAAGGAAGTGCCTTGCGCCAGGTCACAGGTGATGAAATGCTGAAGCGAGGCCGAGAGGAGGCAGTTCTTTCCTGAGCTGGAGCCTCTTGGGCCCCCAGGCCAAGCTCTCAAACCCAAGGGCCATGTCTGGTTGGGAAAGGACTGGAATGGCCGACAGGGAGAGGATGGTTTTACCCACGGACGTGCCCAGATACTGCCATTCCCAGCCCTCTGGGCAGCCGGCACGTTGATTATCCTGCCTGAGCCATGGGAAATGACAGTCTTTCTGACGGTACAGTGTCTATTAGAAATGAAAGGGCTGAAATGATACCCATTAGCCAACACGCCCTGGCCCAGGAAGAGTGTCTGATGGTGTGTGTACGTGTACCAGTTTCCCCTTGGTGGAGAGCGGAGGCCTTAACCCCAGCTCCCCCTCCCCCCCACCCCCCGCCCCCGCACTGGTTATATGGTCTCGGGCCTGCCTACCCCGAACTGAGAGCTTCGGGTCCTCCCGCCTGCCTGTCCCGGTAGAGCCAACGTTACAGATGAGGAAATCCTTGGCAAATGGAAGTGCCAGCCCTGGGAAGATGCCTTCTGGCCTCCGGGTCAGGCAGACCTGGGTTCATTTCCATTCTCACCCTGACTCTGTGTGACGTCGGGCAAGTTGCTTAACCTCTCTCAGCCTCAGTTTCCTCATGCGCAGAATAGGGACACGAAGATGCTCCTCCCGAGGTCATTGTGAGGCTTGAGAGAACACAGGGAGAGCGCCCACATGGGGCTTCCACCTGTACGATTCTGGAAGCTGGCAGGCCCCGGCCAGGCGAGGGCCTCTTCCCCGAGGAGTCCTCAAATCTCAGAGTCGGAAGGGTCTCCCCGGACTCCTAGCTCCCCTGCTGATCTTCAAGAGACCACGATCGTTCCCACCCCCAGCCTGTCACTTTGTACCCCTCTGCCTTCCTTCGTAAGACGTATCGCCGTCTGCAATGATGCGAGGTGTGTGTGTGCTTTCCTCGTCCCCGTCACTATGACGCCAGCTCCACGAAGGCAGTCTTTATCCCACCCGCCCCTGCCAGAGCCGGGCACACGTGCCCTTCAGTAAGTATCTGTGATCGGCTGAGTGAATGAACGGAGGAGCTCCACGTGACTCCATCCACTGAATCCCACGTGTGTGGCAGTCTCGGAACTTTGGTGCAGTCTGAGTCACGGACATTTCCCAAGTATCTTCTCTGGGCCACCCTCTACGTGGACACGCAGACTGGCTCAGACACGGCCCTCCCTCAGGAGCTCAGCGTCCTGGGGGGCAGGGAGCAGGGAGAACCAGGCATCTCACGGTGAGAAGTAGTACTTCCTGGAGGAACACAGCCAGCCAGGGGACCCCTCACTCTCCCCCTGCCCTCCAGTCTCCCGGGGGGCTCCTCAGGCCGAGCCCAGAGGTATGCAGTCCGTGTGGCCAGTCTCCCTAGGACACAGAGCAGGGTGGAGAAGAGTGACAGTGGATCTGGACGGGCAAAGGGAGACCAGCACAGAAACGAACAAAGTGCTTTCCCCTCAAAGACTTTTGGGAACAAGACAAGGTTTAAATGGCTGCCTCAGCTCGGGTAAGTGTAAGAGGAGCCCAGAGGGATGATTCATGCTTCCAGGAAGGCGCATCAGGCAGAAGACAGGGAATGGCATCCCAGGAGTGGGGAACAGCAGGTGCTAATGCAAGAAGGTGCAGAAGGGTATGTCGTGATGGGGATGGGAAGGAGGGCTGGGGAGGGGGGCTGGGAGGTATGTTGGGGCGATGCTGGAAAGGCGGGATGGGAAGTTACTAGTCAGGACACCTGGATGGCACTAGCAGCTTCTCTCAGAACAACAATGGAAGGAGCCCTCTGTGTCCTTGGGCTCCGAACGAAGACACCCATTGGACCAACAGGGCCTGCCATCGATGTCTTCTCCTGGGACATCTGCCCATACAGAAAGGCTCTTAATCTGTTGGCACCAGGTGTGCTGTCTGGGCACACACTGGCACAGTGAGCCGAGCCCTGGGCTCATGGCTGTCTCTGCCACCTCCTGGCCCAGTAGTGTTGGTCGGCTAATCCCACCATCTCCAGCCCTCCTTCAAAAGGGACCCCCCCAACCCTGGCACCCACCAGGACCCAGGACCTGGCTCTGGCTCTGCCACTAGCTTTCCATAACCTCTCCCAAGTTGGTTTTCTCGTCTGTCAAGTGGGAATAATAGCTGGAACATTTATTGAAATGTACTCTATGCCAGGCATTGTTCAAAAAGGGTTTTACATTTATGTTCTCATTTAATTCTATTGGGGCACCTGGGTGACTCAGTCAGTTGGGTGGCCGACTTCGGTTCAGGTCATGATCTCATGGCTTGTGAGTTCGAGCCCCACATCGGGCTCTATACTGACAGCTCGGAGCCTGGAGCCTGCTTCGGATTCTGGGTCTCCCTCTCTCTCGGCCCCTCCCCCACTCATACTCTGTCTCTCTCTGTCTCAAAGGTAAATAAACATTTAAACTATACATATATATAAATTCTCTAAATAGTAACTATAATAATTCCCTCTAAGAAATAGTCCATGTGGGATTCAAATCCAGGCAGCAGATCTGCCTGCAAAGCCCAGGTCTTTTACTAGAGCAGGTGGAGGAGCCAATAGAAACAGATCACAACCGTAACTCGCATTTGTAGCTGTAACAAGATACATGTTAGACGTTAACATTGAGCACTTTGTGCTTGGTGTTATTCTCAGGATCTAAGCACGTTCCATAAATTAAATTCATTTAATTCCTTACACTAATGCTATGAGGGGAGTACTGTTATGCGTCCCATTTCACAGATGAGGAAACTGAGGCACTGAGAAGTCAAGTAACTTGCTTGAGGTCTCACACCTAATAGCTCCCGTCGGGTGAAGACTAATGCTGAGAGCCAGGAATCACTCTAGACCCTTCCTATGGGCTAGCTTGTCTAGTCCTCACGACAGAGGAGCTGAGGCACAGAGGCTGTGTATCTCATCCACGATCACATGGCTGGTGAGTGGTGCCATCAGGCCTCAAAACAGGTGGTCTGACTTCAGAGTCCCCGCTCCTAACCAGTGGCCCTAACGCTTCTTGGCACGATGCTCGGTGCAGGGCCTGAGCTTGGGAAGTGTTGCCCAGTCTCAGCGTGAGGCTGTAAAATGGGTTCTGGGCTCCTGAGGTCTCGGAGAGGCCCTGACAAACTGCTGCCCATCACGGGTGCCTTGTCAGAACCCGAGGCTGCTCCCAGGGGAGCCTTCTGGGACCCGTGGCGTCCCCGGCCACCGGTTCTGCCCACGCAGTCGCCGGAACACACAGTGCCCGAGCTAGTCCCGGCTGCCCTGGACACTGAGCCTCAGGGCCCCCCAGGGCTGTTCCACATTCCCCTCCAAAGTCAACGAAGCCCCGGCTGGCTTTCCTCCTGGAAAATCAGTGGGACTCACTGCCCTCTGCTGGCTTCCTCCAAGGCCGCCCGGACTCCAGGAGCAGCGGGCACTTCGGGGAAGGCTGCCCCAGCTGTATCTCTGCACCCTGGCCCTGCCTGGGCCTGCATCCTACTGCTTCCCTGAGCTCCCCTGGCTGTGGCTCTGGAGGGAGCCGTGATACCCCTGCCCTTAGAAGCGCTCGCAGAATTGGAGCTAGACAGTGACGGCTCCCATTCCCTGAGCCCCTTGGGGGAACACAGGCATTTAACCGCTCTAGTCCTCAGAACCACTCCGCTTAACAAACAAGGAAGCCGAGGCTCAGTCTAGCTGATGGGTTTGCCAGAGACCACGCAACTGGTAACTGGTGGAGTGGGGACCTGAATCCAGTTCCTTCTGGGGGCTCTTTCCACGAAATCGAAACCACATGGACTCTGTCCAGATGGCCCCCCTGCTCTCTGTGCTGAGGATTTCAGGGGTATTTATTCATGCCTTTGAGTGCCTAGCATTGAACTGGTAAGTGCTGGGGAGACAGTGCCAACGCAAGCGGTGTGGGCAGGCCTCCCCTAAACCAACAGTGACGCAAAGCAGGTGGATAGACGAGGAAACCCCACAGTGCCTGGAAGCAGCCTGAGTCCCTGGAGGCAGTGATGCCCCGGTCAGGGTGCTGGGGAACGAGAAGACATTAAACTGGTGACAGTGGGGAGACGCAGGGAGAAAGGGCATTTCGGGCAGGCAATGGCTGGAGATTAGAGATTCGAGGGAACCCCAAATTCACCAGGTGGCTACAGCACAGAGTGGGAGGAGACAGTGGAGGTGACAAGGCCGGGAAGGCAGGTGGGGATACAGCCTAACTTCAAGAGACTTCCCACACAGTGGCCATGTCGGCTCTTGGGCCCCGTTTGGTGCCCTCGGGATTCCTGTGTACAAAGGGCTCCCCAAATCATAAATCCGGTACACTGGCTTTATAGCTGAAGCTTGGAGAGAAGGTGATTGGCTTCAGGTCACCCAGAGGAGCCAGAATCACACCCAGGTTACCTGATTCCAAGGGACACGCTGTCCCTGCAGCACCATCTCAAAGCCCTTCCTCCTTCCCCGGGGGATGAGTTTCTGTCCGATCACCACGGGGGGCAATCAGGGCCCACAAACCTTGGGATTCCCCTGGCAACTCTGTGGATCAGGCCCGCCCATATCACCTGGGTGAGGGAGTTTCCCTCTCTTTGAGATCAAACACAAACCCCAAACAGAAACTGCCCCACACCTGAGCTCCAGGTAAATGCAGCCCGAGCCTGTGAGGTATACACACCTTTTGGCTCACACCCAGGAGAAGAAAGGTAGCTGTTTGAATAAAAACTCTCCTGGACGGGCGCCCAGCGATTTATAGTTTGCAAAGTGCTTTCCCCAAACGTTCTGCCTTTTGATCCTCGCACCTGTCCTGAGAAAAAGGTGCTGCCCATTTTACAGAGGCAGAAACTGAGGCCTGAGAGGTGAAGTGCAATGCTCAAGGTCACAGAGGGAGGGCGCTCTAGGGTCAGAAACAAGTGGCCCCAGGAGGCGTCATGTGCTGGACACACATCGACTAAATGGCCCATCTCTGACGAATGCGGTGAGTAAAGCCAAGAGTGGTCATAGGAGGTGTCACTGAGGTCCTTTCAAAAATGCATAGCAGTGACCAGGCAGAACTCGGGAGGGGAGCTTTCTGGGCCAAGGAAAGCGTGAGCAAAGGCCTGGAGGTAGGAGGAAGCAGGCAGACAGGAAACAGGGAATACTCCAACGGGGCTGGTGCGCAGAGTGTGGGCGTACCCCGGGGTGGCTCCCCTCCTTTCCCAGGGACCTCTTCTCCCCTCCCCTATCTCCCAGCTGCCTCTCTCAACATCTGCTCTACTGTTGCTGTTGGGGTTCAGATCTGTCTCCCCCATCCTTCTGGAAGCTCCTGGAGGGCAAGGACCTTATCCAGTTCACTTCTGTATCCTCAGTCTCTAGCACAAGGCTGGCCTGGCACAGAGATGGAGCCAGTTAATGAATAAAGATGAATGAATGAATGAATGAATACACAGTGCCAGCTACATTACATGAAATAGCAGCTGAGAGGTTTTTGAACACTAACCACGTGCCACCAGGTGCTTGGCTAGCTACTTTTTATACACATCGTCTCTTTAATCCCTGCGAGGCCTATTATTTACTTTTTATTATCATCAAAATCTCCGTTTTATAGGTGAGGAAACCGAGGCACAGAAAGGTGAAGTAACTTGGGTAAGGTCACAGAGTCCACAAGTGTCCTTGGGATTTGAACTGAAGCCACAGGCTCAGTTGAGCGATTTTGCACACACTCTCAGCCACATGGGGACACAGCTGCCAGCACAGGCACACACACGTGTGCACACACACACACAAGAGCACCCAGGCCACAGCCTTGTGCTCCTGGACACCCGGTCCTCCCCAGATTTGCTTACCCCCTAGCATGGAGAAGGAGCTCACAGTCCTGGTGCCGGGCTGGGGGCAGGGGTGGGGTGAGAAGGAGCCAGGTGGGCTCTGAGACGTGCTCACTCCCTTTCTCTG